TTATAGAAATTTTAATGTATTATTTTTATATGTGCAAACGGACATAAGTACAGTTAAAAGCAAAATTATTCAGCAGAGAATTTAAGATTGCAGTCTAGTGGATCATCTTATTATGTGCCGCACATATAAGTGTTGCATATACACTTTGTCATGGTCTCTGAAGAGGCTCTTGCGATTTGAATGGTGAGGCTATTTTAAGAATGCGTTTTTATTAAACTGAATGGGAGAGTCTTGTTCAAGGTCTCGTTCTCAAGGACCACTTTACAGACCTCTTTAAATCTCAGAAATAATAGTTAAGAATGATTGTTTTGATAATGTTCTGATTGTCACATCTCAACTCTGTGTGCCAGTTTTACAGCTTGTCTTGATTTCCTCTCATGTCGAAGAGACAGTTTCCTGTTGCCTTCATGTCTAGACATTAGATTTTTTTTTTTTTGGATCATGCTATTTAGATGTTAAGCATTTATTCTTCCCTTGTTTTCAGAGAAACTATTAAGATTTGTGTGCACATGATTTTTATTTTTTTTTTGTTATTGCATTATTGGTGTTTCTTGGTCATTCGCATGTTTGTAGAGCAGTTTATTTTTTTTTATGTAGAAGGGCCAGATGCCTGGTAAGCTTTGAGATTTGCATAAAGCAGTGCCAGCATCAAGCTCAAAGAATTTACCATTTACTTATCCAGTTTATTACAAACCCACATCAAAATGATTTCTAAATCTGATGCTTATGTGTCTTTCATTTATGGCTAGTTGTGTTAGAATGAAATATAAGCAAACTTTCTTTACTGAAACTCACAATACAAAGTGTACATGGATTAAAAGCAATAATAATTAATACATTAAAAGTTCACAGTTTTGCTTATAAGAGATAAGTAAATGAAGACTTCTTGTTGTGATCCATTAGAAATTTGAAAGACAATTTGTCAAGAAGATTGATGCTTTTATAACTACATTATACTTTTATTCTTACATTTTTATAAAAATCAAGAGACTTACATTTTTTTTCTTTAAATAGGAGTGTCATAATTTTGTAGCTTATCTAGTGGTTATAGCCATGGGTTAGTTGCCTAATTATCAAAATAGACTAATTTAATTCTTTTAAATCAGTCTATTGATAAATTGCCAGCTGTTGAGGCAAGTCACTTTTGTATTTGTTAGAAAAATTAGGTCATGTCTAAACTGAATGCCTTTTTTTACTTTTTGTTTTAGACATTTGTCATGAAGGCCTGTCGTAATAATCAATATATCGACTTATCACAAATGCTGTTACATTATGATTATATATTCAGTGGCATAAAATGGTCTTTAGAATGACAATAATATCGCTTATCGCAATTATATTGCACAACAAAATGTTGTTATCGTGACAGGCCTATTGTCATGTCTACGGATTCTCACATTGTAGACAAATTTCTTAAGCAACTCTAAGTCTAAAACTGAACTGAAAAATAGAGCACACCATGCAACTGAGTAATTTTCACTACATTAATATGGAAAAGTCTGAAAAAAATGAACATAATTGCCTTGCATTGAACATTATTGTGGCATTATTGCAGTGTTTTGCTTTCGTCATACAGAAAATCCACCATCCAATGCCATAATGCTTCAACCGGCTTGATTTGTGGTTTTAAACAACCTAGACAATAAGTAGACATTAGTAATTGACGTTCACGCTTTAGTGAATGTAACGCACCAATGTTTTATTTAACTGTGGGAAGAATTAACATGGTTTTTCATCTGAATCATCAACCATTTGCTGTTAAATTTCTAATAAGGCACTATACCATTTGTCAGTTGCACATGTTATCAGCAAGCTTAGCATATAGCATAAGTGCGGACATAATAAGTGTATTATATTATGCGAAATATTAGTTATAGATTGTTATTGGTCAGTTACCCAATATTGTTGTATAATGAGTGCCAAACTAATTGACTGTTGTCATCTGTTCTTAACAAATCATTTTTAGCTGAAATCAGTATTTGATGTCTGTTTATTTAATCAATATTTCGTTAATTTATTATTTAGTTGTTTTGGTAAGTAGCCATTTAATAAGTGGAATAATCTACAGTCAGCCAGTCATTATTAAAAAATAAACCCATTCAGGTTGAAACCAGACCCTCTGCTTTGTCGAAGTCCTGATGACCCTGTTGTTGTTTAGTGACTGAATGATTGTAAGCTAGCTCTTACTTAAGCTTTTGAGTCACAAATGAGTAAATATTTATTTTATAAGTTACAGCAGATCCTTCTTCCCACACATCAATAGAGCTGACTTATTGAGGGAATTTGCAAGAGCATTCAATACATCACAGAAAACCAGTCTTCTAAGTTTACAGGACATAAAAACTTGTGACGTCAACATAGTTATAATTAAACCCTGTGGTTACCTGTTTGTCCAACATTTAGCTTAACAGTTAATTTAATACTCAACAGTGAGACATAAAATACTACCAAGGTGTGGTGCCAAAAGTGTGCCAAAGCTAAAAACATTGAAGTGGATTCACTGACCTACTTTCACACACTTTTGTCACGTTTCTTGCACAACATTTGACGTAAATAAATTGAGTTTGGACATGTTTCTTGTGCAGCTCTATGGTAACAGTGCAAAGTATCACGAATAATTACCTCACCTTGTGATCATTTTTCTCCGTGATGACAAGTAGTGCTTGCATTGATTGTTTTTCCAAGTTATTTAGACAGATAATCTAGTAAATGATTTAGGCATTTTGCAACTTGTGTGTGTATTGCTTTTAATGACATTTAAAGAGTATAATTACACTTAAAATGCATTTGTTTTCAGAAGTAGGTATGGTTAAGGTGATGAGTGATGTGTTCTTTTTGAGGTTGAATACTTTGAAAATAATTGGACGTAGGCTTGTGTATAGCCTACATATATGTTTATATGCATTTGAATGATCCATCATGGAAAATGAATAGTGAGTCAGTGAAATGGCCTTTCGCTTGTGCAAATGACATCACACAGTCGTCATGAGCACTAGTATCCGAATGCAGGTCAGTGAAGTCCAGGTAATATCATGAGCAAGTGAAAGACGGAGCTCTTCACTGTTGGGTGCGGCCTTCCTATCGGCCTCATAAAACCAAATAATCCCGCCGCAGATCTTCACTCCAGCACACAGGATTAAAAATCAGGTTGTTGCCGATCTGTTAACGACTATTTAGGTCACTAGGCATGCAGAGCACTGTTAAATATAGGAGCCAGGGGCACAAGCTGTGTTTGGCCTGGCCTGTTCCATTGTCACCTGAACCTGTGACAACACACACACACACACACACACACAAGCAAAGTACATGCACGTGTACACATGGCCGGTCTGAGGAGGAGGCGCAGATGCAGTTCAGGGTCTGATGAGGTGGAGCGTATCTGTTGATCTTAGAGGCTTAAAGCAACAGGTGAAACAGGCGAGAAAACAGACTGCACCATTAAAGCCTCTTCATGAATAAGGTGCTCTGCTTGCAGGGAGTTTGTGAATGGATTATGGTGGTCAATGGCAATAACAGATGGCAAATACAGCTCCATTATGTGTCTGCCAGGTAGAGCTGCACAGTTTGCTCAGAAAAGTAATGTTACAGTTAGTGCAACAAAGATTGTGATTTGAACTGCAACATGATAAACAGTAAAGTGTGAAGAGCTTCATTTTATTCTTTGCATTCACTTTGTAGTTTTACCCTTTATATGGGCTAGTTGTTTTCAATAATAATAATATCGAACTTCTTCATTTTTTTTTTTCTTTTTCAGTTGTTATTGTTGAAATAATAATAAATGTAGTAATATTGTGTGGAGTTTTATTTTCTTAATTATTATTGTTATTATTTTTATTTTTTTTATTTTTTTGCATTCACATTGTAGCTTTACTTTGGCATGAACTAGGGGTTATTTCAATAATAAGAGTAATACTAATTTAATCAATAATAGCATTTTTCATTTCATGGAAATAATTTTTATTTTTCCAATGTTGTAATAATAATAATAATAATAATAATAATAATAATACTATGTGAAGAAATGTATTTATTTGCATTCACATTGTGGCTTTACTTCAGCATGGTCTATTTGTTCTTATTTCAGTAATAATAATAATAATAATAATATGTGAAGAGATTTCTTTATTTATTTATTTATTTGCATTCACACTGTAGCTTTACTTCAGCATGGGCTAATTGTTGATATTATTTCAATAATAATAATAATATTTATAATTATTATTTTATATTAATTTGAATAATCACACTTGGGCTATTTTATTTTACTTTGATATATAGAAACCAAAACTGAAATTGAATTGACAATATGTCTTCCATCAGAGTAATTTGCTTTCATTTGCAACGATGACTAAATGCTGCAGTGATTTTAGCCAAAAACCAGAAACTAAAGCTGTTTTAACTCAACAGATGCATGATCTTAATGTTTGACAGTGCTGTTCTGTCCTCAATAATGGAGACTGGATATTATGTAAATAGAAATAGATACACTGCTATAAAACGCTTCTCATTTTAAAGCTTTGTTTGTACAGGAAGTCAAAGACTGTGTATTAAAATGAACTTGCATATTCCTTCTTGTCTGAATGGGTGTATAGATGTGCATAAAGGAAAGAGTGATGCACGTTTTTGTGGAGGTGAAGTAGGTTGTCTGTATGTATTGTGCTCATGGTCGCCCAGCCTCAATGCGGCAAGTAGTTCTCTGTGAACTTTTCTTTCTAAGAACCAGCTAAACTGGGTTTCTGGGTTTTAAGATTACTCTTTTAAGACGACTTTCACAAGATAAAAAAAAATGTCCTGTTTATTATCACCAGTTCACCACACAGACAAAAAGTATCACTCTGAATTCACACAAAAATTCGCCGATTACAGATGGTCTGATTCTTTAGATGTCTGTTATGAAATCTTTTCCACAGTGCCCTGGTTCCAATATGTAGCACGCAGTTGTGTTTTGGCATGTTTCTTTTTGTAAGTTTACTATAATAAATCCCTCCCACCATTGGCAGGAGACGCATTAGAGGAAGAACCCCAGGGCCTCTCTGTCTCTCTGTCTGGTTTGATGACCCCCACCTCAGCCACCGGCATGGCCTCAGGCATGGAGCTGCCCAGAAAACGGAAAGGCAGCATGGACAACCCGTGAGCATATTTACATATATTTACATTCTTTTTTTAGTTTTATTTTACATTCATTACTAATGGGAAAAGACACGTTTGTGCCTTTTCCCCATTAATAATGAATGTAAAATAAAACGAAAATAGAAGACATCTCGTGAGTGTGGATCATAATTTCCTATACTAAGTAACTTAACAGATTGACGCACCAAATAAAAAGATCAAGTAATGGAAGAGCGTAGTGCAAACAGCATTGTTGACATATATTTACATTCGTCACTAGTAGAGGCTGGCATTTTGACAAAATATGACAGTTACTTTATAAACCACAATATTGTTTTTTTTGCAGTAATAAGAAATTAAAGATTGGAAATGGTTTATTTAAATGGTTTGAAGAATTGTTTGCGTGGCAATGCCTATTTTTAAATAATCTAGTTATTTAAATGCTTAAATCTTATCTTAAATAATAAAAATTATAAAAAAGTAATTGTGAATTTGCTCAAAAGTGTTTTTTTATTTGTGTTAAATTAATACTGTTATTCGCCAAAGACAAGGATGCGTTAAATTATTAAAAACTGATACTAAGGACATGTATAATGTTACAAAAGAATTCAGATAAATACTGTTCTTTTGAACTTCATCAAGAATCCTGGAAAAATGTATCATGGCTTTTACAAAATTATATTACCCATAATAAGAAATTATTCTTGAGCACCAAATCAGCATATTAGAATGATTTCTGAAGGATCATGTGAAACTGAAGACTGGAGTAAGGGCTGCTGAAAATTCAGCTTTGCCATCACAGGAATAAAATATATTTTAAAATATATTAAAAGAGAAAACAGTCATTTTAAATTGTAATATTTCACAATTACTGTTTTTACTGTAATAAATGTGGCTTTTGAATAGTAGTATAATTTATTTTGTATTTTTAACTATCTCAAATCTCCTTTTCATTCCTCTATCTTTTCATTTGTAGCTTGATGGACACAAACCACCAAAAACATGAAAAAATTGTAGTTCTGTACTATTTGTACTGCCTTTTAATGCTGCCTGGATAAGTCACATTGACTGCATAGGTTTAATTTGTATTGATGAGATGAGTCACATAGTTGTTGTACAGCCGTATATCTTTGCCGCTTTGTTTTTTGCATTACTCCATGTTTCTTTGTGATTAAAGTAAAGTCCATCCCACATAAATGTCTATATATGTTAAATATCCTCATACCACTGAGCCCTAGTTTCTTGAAAAAGTATGTGCATGGGTGTGAGAATGTAAGACATTAATATATTAGATATTTGGATTTTATAACTGATGACTAATATCCTCTTGTTTGGCCTGTTAGCCCCTGTCCTGCTTTTCTGAATGAGTCGAGATGCATTGGGAAAAAGGATGTGCGTGGTCTGTGTTTAACGTCCTCTTAGAATCACGGCAGCATTTCATGAGTCACTTTAATCATCTCACCACTTTGTTTCCAGGGAAACTAAATCTGCATCAAATCTAGAGGAGGATATGGAGGACGATCAGGGAAGGTACTAAGCCTATTACGAAACTCAATATGGCTCACCTTGATCTACGATTTTAATCATTACTTTTAACACTTGTATGTCTTTTATTATTATGTTTTCTTAGATCGGAAGGAGACAACCAGCACTTAAAAATTAAGTGTGTCAGGTACTTATCACAAAAAATTATTTTATTTTTTATTTATTTATCTACTTTTTTAAAGTTATTATTATTATTATTATTATTTAGTTGTTAAATTTGAAGTTTCCACTGTCATTGAAATTCAAACACTAAAAAAAAAAACACTAAGTGACGTTATATTTCAGCTTAGTGGAGTTCAGTGGTACTTGCAACATAAATGTCATCTTGTAGGGAACCTCACAGTCAGATCGAGAAACGACGGCGAGATAAGATGAATAACCTGATTGACGAGTTGGCAGCGATGATTCCCACCTGTAACCCCATGTCCCGCAAGCTTGACAAACTCACTGTGTTACGAATGGCTGTCCAGCACCTCAAATCACTCAAAGGTACCTAGATTTGCTTTTTGTGTAGCCTAGCAAACACAAAGACAAATATTGAGCTTGAAAAATGTATTTTCCTTCATGAATACCTAATTAAAGCAAAGCAAACGGTGATGAATGTTCTTGAATGTATGTGGGGTAATGGAGTGCCTGTTTTTCAGGAGCAACCAGCTCGTTTGCAGAAGCCAATTACAAACCTGCATTCCTCCCAGACGATGAGCTCAAACACCTTGTCCTAAGGGTAAATCCTACAATTTATAGAACCATGTCTTAAAGCTATTTGTAACAGCAGAAGAACTATCACTGCAAATTATTGATTATGTGGGTGGAAAAGACTCCGAAAATAGCTTTTGTTTAAACAGGGCATTTTGACTGTTTGCGATTGTGAAATTACAACATCAACCCTAAATGATCTCTTTCTATCTCTATCTCTTGTCCAGGCTGCGGATGGATTTCTCTTTGTGGTTGGCTGTGACCGTGGGAAGATAGTCTTTGTCTCAGAATCGGTTTCAAAAATGCTGAATTACAGTCGGGTAGGACAGTTCAACAATATATATATATATATATATGTGTGTGTATATATAACACATTTTTTTAATAATAAGTGCTGTAATTATGAACAGATGTACACTACCACTACCAGACAAAAGATTAGTCACATATACTCATTCTTTCTTTTTTGCCATTTTCCACATCATAGAATCATAGTAAAGTCATCACGGCTTAAAAAGCAAGTGTCCTACTTATATAGTAACTCTCTCTCTCTCTCTCTCTCTCTCTCTCTCTATCTCTCTCTATCTATCTATCTATCTATATATTTATATAAATAAAAATTTGGAAGCATTTTTCAGGAATTCTTGAGATTAAGCATTCCAAATTTGAACTGTTCTTTGATTTTGGAAACATTGTTGTCTATAAAACTAATGCCAATCCTTTAAGAATTATATTTGCCGTTAATAGTACGCTTTTTGAGATCATAAGAAACATAATCAGTCTAGTATGTCTAAACATTTAACTGTTCATTTTAAGGGGTGTTTTAAAAACGGCATTTGTTTACCTGGTAATAAACAATTAGGTTTATGATCTGACCTGTTGGCAAAATGCATTAGTTAAATCATGGCTCATTTGAGTGTTTTTCTCCCCAGACGGAGTTAATTGGACAGAGCCTGTTTGATTATGTTCATCCTAAGGACATTGGTAAAGTGAAGGAACAGCTGTCTGCCTCTGAACTCTACCCGCGGGAGCGCCTCATAGACGCCAAAAGTAAACATACTTTGGCCGTAATAGACTGTTGTGTTAAGTTTGTGTGTGTGTTTCCTGAATGCTTTTCTGAAATGCTTATACAGTTTTATGTCTGTAGCATGCACATTGTACTCTGTCTGCTTAATAAATATACAGTATACTATACACCATCATTCAAATGTTTGGGGTTAGTAAGAATTCTCTTATGACCAACAAGGATGCATTTATTTGATCGTAAAAACAGTAATATTCCTATAATATTATTACCATTTAAAATGAGTGATTTCTATTTTAATATATTTTAAAATGTAATTTATTCCTGTGGTGGCAAAGTCGAATTTTGCGCAGCCATTACTCCAGTCGTCAGTGTCACATGATCCTTCGGAAATAATTCTAATGCTGATTTGGTGTTCAAATAACATTTTTTATTATTAACAATGTTGACAACAGTGCTTCTGCTTAATATTTCTGTGAACACCATTTTTGATTAGTAGAATGTTCAAAAGAACAGCATTTAAATCTTTCGTAACATTATAAATATCTTAACTGTCACCTTTGATCACTACAAGTATTAATTTCTTTAAAATAGAATCTTTACCAACCCCAGACTTTTTTTTTCATTATTCATTCTTAGTTGATTATTTACTCTCCCACATGTTTCAAACCTGTTTCCTGGCATAAAGCACAGCAAAAGTAGTCCATATGACTCATGTGCTGTATTTGAAGTTTTCCGAAGCCGTAGGATTGCTTTTGGTAAAAAAAATTAGGTACAACATGAGGGTGAGTAAATAAAATATGCGTTTTTGGGAAAATCATTCTTTCGACCAATCTGACTGGTGTTTATGTGCAGCGGGATTGCAGGTGCAGGCTGAGCTGCCCGTCGGAGTGGCTCGGCTTTGCTCTGGAGCCCGGCGCTCATTCTTCTGCCGAATGAAGTACAACAAAGTTACCGTCAAAGAAGAGAAGGACTTCCAGGCTGGGGCTTCAAAAAAGAAAGGTCAGTAGCATTTCAGTCAGGATACATCAGGAGCTCATCCTGTTTTTACAATCAAGTTGTTAAAGATGGTTTTCCAATTTTAATGATGACATGACAAGTGAATCAGAAGAGCAGAAATCCACTGTCTGTTATGATTTTTCTGTAAAAAGAAAAAAAAAAGAAGTTAAATAAAGGTTCTATATTCTTGGCTTCAGACTGGCAATGTCTCTCTTCTTAGTTTTTCAAAATTACAGTATGTTCAACATGTTGAGCAAAAGCTTATATTTAAGCTTTCCTACATATCACATTTGTCACAACACTGGAAAAAAAAAACATTTGTCAGATGTTTGTCATGGCACGTTTTTAGATTAAATCAAGCAAATCCAAAAGGGAATGAAACGTGCACCTTTGTGTTCCTCTTTAACAACATATGGTGGAACATTTGGCTCACAGCTCACCTGTAAATTGACTCTGTTTTGATTGACTGCCCCAACAGAGTCACAGCGGTACTGCACTGTGCACTGCACGGGCTACATGCGCACCTGGCCCACGCACCAGCTAGGCACAGAGGGGGAGGCCGAGACGGATAAAGAGAGCTCCCACTTCAGCTGCCTGGTAGCAGTGGGCCGCGTGCACCCCCACACCCTCCCGCAGGCCAACGGAGAGATCAAGGTCAAGCCCACTGAATTTGTCACCCGCTACGCCATGGATGGCAAATTCACCTTTGTGGATCAACGGTAATTTGACTCTTGTTTTGGGAATAAATAAATGTGAATTTTTGTGACTGGCAATTGTTTGTGTGCATAATCATAGTCATCTGTGCAAACTAGCTCCACAGTATGTAATTACCTACATAACTTTCCCTTGCCTGGTATGTTCCGTAGTAAGTTGACTGTACATGGGGACTTCATTCTCACTAGAGGGCGGCATGCGTTTTCTTTTCAAAACTTGGACTTAGTTTCCCACTTGTTAAGAGGAGACAACTTTTAGGTATTTGTTATTCAGATAATAGTTAACTCTTTGTCAGTATTAACTGTCTGTTGGGGAGTAATTAACTTAAAATGGTTTATTTAGTAGTCTATATAAATTATATAAAAATAACTATCAAATCTAAATTAATAAACAGGGGTGCACATAACTTTTTCATAAAGTCTGGTTCTCATGAGTGTACCTGGAGAGTGACCCATTGAATATAACTAAAAAATAATAATTAAATACAAAAAAAAATATTGCACATTATTAATTTAGTTTTTTTTTTTTATAAAATAATAAAGTGTGATGATATTATTATCTTAAACATAAAAAGTGAGTATTAAATAAAAATACAATAATTTTATAGTACACTTAAAAATACAATGCTAATGTTAATGATTTAGACCCAATGTTTATGAATTTTCATTTTCAAACCTAAAATCAGCTAGCTTTTATTTTGTAGGTGCGCAAATGAGCAGTCTGAATGAATTTACACATTTACTTGCACATTTCCTTACTTTTTTTTTTTTTGTCATGTATGCGCACCTGTGCACCACTTACGTGCACCCCTTTTAATAAAAGTAATTATTATATACAATATTTTAGAAAAATGAAAAAATATATTCTTATATATAATTATAACATTTTCTTTCCAGAACATGCATTAGTTTACCAATTGTTAAAAGGAGACCGTTGCATTTGGATATTTGTTATTGAGATAATATTTAATTTTGGGGAGTAACTAACAGTATTTTTAAGTAAACTATATAAAATTAGTTACATAAAATTCTAATTATAAAAAATGCAAATTTTCTATAATAATAATTATCCTATAATAATCCATGTGTAATTTATGATGTACCAAATATAATGACTGCTTTAAGTTTTTTTTTTTTTTTTTTTTGTCAACACTCTTGACATCTGCGGTTGGTCAGGCATGCAGATTTGCCTCAAACTCTCAGCATTGGTTTAGCCAATGTTGTCATGTCAGGATAGCCTAGATGCTAAAATAAAAAGAGTAATGTTTTGATAGTGTAAACACTATGGCAATTTCTCTGGGAGTTGTCTCTAAAAAAGTTACTTGCTTCTCCTTTTAAGTTTCACAGTGAAAAATGTGATTTTAAAAACTGCATTCTTTTTATATTGCACACACAGAGCCACCACCATTCTGGGTTATTTACCCCAGGAGCTGCTAGGCACATCCTGCTATGAATACTTCCATCTGGACGACCTGCCTCATTTGGCAGATAGACACCGAAAAGGTACAGTGCATCCAGATTCTTACCATTAAGAACACTGGAGCTCTAAACAGGTTTTCCTGAAAGTATTTTCCAAGAAACTGGGCAGATTGCCTAAGACATTTGTACAGAGAAGGACACGAGTAGCCAAATCCTCATCATCCATCATTAATCATTAGTCTTACTTCTAAAGAACATTAGAAGAGCTTTCAATGGCAGATACACCAGGGCAGTGCCTCAGAGTGTAATACTGGATTACATGCATATACAACTAAATGTGGCATTTATTACCTTTGTTTGTTTATCTTTGTTTACACATTCCCATGCTTTATAAGTTTTTTCTGTGGAAAAAAGATGAGAAGAAAAAGTGTTACTCTTCCATCTGACAAAGGTCTGTCAAGCTCTTAAAATATAGCACAAAAGTCATATTGACTGCTTTTATTGCACTTTTGGTCATTTGGAGCTTAACAGCCTGGATCCACATTTACTTTTATCATATGCAAATAAGTCATCAGTACGTTCAGCCACAATTTTGTATTCTGTCAAATATAAAACATAATATGGGATTGGAGTGACTGGTTTTATGAGTAAATGACAATTTTATTTTTGGTTGCACTTCCTTTAATATGTCATTTTGGTCACCTCTTTTCACAGTGCTGAGGAGTAAAGAGAAGATTGAGACAAACTGCTATAAGTTTAAAACGAAATATGGCTCTTTTGTAACCTTACAAAGTCAGTGGTTTAGTTTTATAAATCCTTGGACCAAAGAAGTAGAATACATAGTGTCAACCAACACAGTTATATCGTAAGTACCAGCATTTCATCTTGTTTTTCTAACAGGCCGTTTTTCCTATAACTGCATATCAATGTCATGATTCAACCTGTCACACCCAAATTCTGTGATTGATGAGATAACAGATTATTTCTCGACTCTTTTTCCACCTGACTCAGCGGTAAAAGTAATCCAGGTGGATCAGGGGATAAATCTGAGCAGCTTAGCAGTTCCAAGGCCTCGGAGGGTGAGTACTGAGATCTGTGAATGTTGTGAATATGTTTGTTTCTAGATGTGCACCTATAATTTGCATATTGCATTGTGAAACCATATATAGAGGTAAAGGAAACTATTTAAATGCAAGTCCAGCTTTCCAGTTAATAAAAAGCTGGTCACCTTTTTAATATATGCATCACCTTTTGCTGTGGGTTTTGTTTTTTGTTTTCTTTTGTTTGATTGTTTTGCTTGGGGATTTGTTTAGTTTTGTGTGTGTGTATCTTTTTGTTTGTTTGTTTGATATGGTTTTTGTTTGTTTGTTTGATATGGTTTGTTTTTTTGGTTTTGTTTTCTTTCTTTTTTTTTCATTAGCTGGAGCCGCCTGAATTTAGTTTGCACGATTTGTCTTAAAGGGGTCATATGATGCGATTTCAAATTTTCCTTTCTCTTTGGAGTGTTACAAGCTCTTGGTGCATAAAGAAGATCTGTAAAGTTGCAAAGACTAAAGTCTCAAATCCAAAGAGATATTCTTATAAAAGTTAAGAGT